GATTCGTCTCGATGAGACGAATCGAATGGTACTAAAATTATATGATTCTGATCATTGGTTCGCAAGATATTGTTGTGCGTCAAATTAGGAACTGCATCAAATTAGGTATATCTACCTTATGAAATAACTAAAAATACAGAAACCAATGAATACTTGATGGTATTTAAGTATGCTAATAAAGGGAACCTTATAAATATTTAAGAGAGAAATTTAGCAAACTTACATGGCAGACTAAATTACAAATACTTAAAGATATTTCACTTGAGTTAGATTATATTCACTTAGCAAAATATATTCATAGTGGTAATATTTTGCAAAGCCAATGTACTAATAAAGATGTACGATCTTATATCGCAGATCTAGAATTGTCTAGTAAGAATGATGAATGTATTTTAGAGGGTGATATTTTTGGAGTCTTGCCCTATGTTGCTCCAGAAGTTTTATCAAATAAAGAGCAGTTTATACAAGCAGCAGATATTTATAAATTTGGTATTATTATGTAGAAATATAAGCTGGACAAAAGCCTTTTAATGGTTATCAACTTAATGAACTTGCAGTAAAGATTTGCACTAGATTATGCCTGGAGTTTGCTTTCCGAACTTCTGGCTATTATGTAGAATTGATAAAGAAATGTATGAATTCATAGTAAGAAATGCTGCAAAAAGAAAACCCATCATCTGGGTTTCAAGTTTATTGCTTATTGGGAACTAATGTTCTAGTCTCTGGAAGAGCAATAGCTCCTTTAAATTTTTGAAGTTGAGAGTTACTACATTTGCAGGATGAAAATTAAAAATTTTTTAAATAAGGTGCCTTAATTGTATATTTGATAAAAAAAAATGTTGTTTGTATTTATAAATTTTAAATCCTAGGTAGGTTTTTTCTTTTTCAAAAAACTGCAGTGGGTATATAATGAACAACTAACGAGTACCCATGATACTACCCTAACCCTACCCTGTTTGTATAAGGGCTTTATTTTTAAGCCCTTACTCTACCCTAGGGCCCAGAAATTAATACCCTAACCCAGCTCTTATGGTACTATTCGCGGGTATCTATAGGTAGCCCAGGCCCATGCGAAGGTCTACAGCTGTCACATGACCACACATGCATACAAATATTTTCATACATTTGTGGCTAGTAATATAACTCTTTAATTTTCTGAACATATTATCAGCACCAAAATAGCCACCAGTTGGATGATCGTGCATTAGGTAGAGTATTGCTTCTACCTCATCTTTCTTAATGACTTTTAATAATTTTTCTTTGGACTGACTTCTTCTATCTTTCTTGTATAAGAGCCCATTTCGACATTCGAAGAATTGGCTCTTGGAAATGGACCTCTTCTGTTTTTCCAAGTTTAGACTTTGGGGTAGGTTACTAGTTTCTAAATATTGTTTCATTTGTTCATATTCTTCTGTATTCATCTTGACTTATTTGTTGCCAGAACACCAGAATCTGGACTGAATTTGTTGCTTCGGGTTTTTAAATTCTTCTATAAGTATACTCTGATTTCTTGTCATACTAGGGATTTCTTTAATTATGTCCAAATTAAATACTTTCTAATTTCTTTTTTTTATTTTTATGTCTTTACTAGCTTTCTTTAGATTTAATATGCCTCTTCTTCGCACATTAGTGTCGTGACCAGCCTTTTGAATTGTCATGTCCACAATGCTACTCTAATTTCAATATCCTTTTTTTTTTTTTTTTTTTTTTAACTATATATATGCCTATTATTGTTCACTATATTTTTCTTCTTCATTTTTATATTCTACTTTTGCTTCTCCCGGCTCGTAATATCCTTTTTAATTGTTCTTTGATTATTATATATATATATATATATATTTTATTTTATCATTAATTGATAGTATTAGCTATTAGATTCTTAATTATTTCGGTATTTAGGCCGCTATGTTGGATTTCATTTACATCTAACCCTGATTCTCTAGTGCTCTCTGCAACCCATTGTTGTAGAGTTATTAAGTCAGTGGGATTGCTAGCAACAAGAGGAAGTGTGATGAACTCTAGATGATATACAGCTCGACAAAGGTTGAGCCGTCTAGCAGCATGGGTGGTGCGCATTTCACTGACAATCACTTCACAGATAGCTTAGTTTACTGACAATTAATTTACAGACAAGTTCATTTTACCGACAATTATTTTATTGACAACATTTCACTGACAAAGTAATTCTGGTCATTGTTGTAAATATCAAGTTAGAATTAGAGTTAAGGTTAGTGCAATTTATAAAAAATATTTGTCAGTGAAATGAGCTGTTGGTGAAATAATTGTTGGTGAAATGAACTTGTTTGTGAATTAATTGTTGGTGAACTAAGATGTCTGTAAAGTAATTGTTAGTGAAATAATATGTATCTAGCAGCATAATGTATACCCAAAGTTGGATGCATATATAAAAAGTATTTATGCTCACTATCCATGCATAACTCAACAAATAATATTTTCTGCGGTATCTAGAACTCATTAGTTCAAAGACCATTATGGGGATAAAGTTGGACTTATCATTACTTGGTTGGTCTGTATCAGATGGTCCTTCCTTATTGCTACTATTTTGAGACATAGCCACCTCAGGAATAGGAGATATACTGGGTTGGTAGATAGTGTTAACCATACACACTTGTACTTCTTTTTCTTGCTGTTTTTCTTCTGATTCTATTTCACTAATAAAATTAACCACTTCGTATAACTCTAGGTTAATTTTCTGTCTAGTCTTCATGTTTACATCTAGTTTCTTATAAATTCTTCTTCTTAACAACTCTTGTTGGGCCACTTCTAGTAACCATTCGCGGAGGAGGACCACCTGCTTAGGTTCATTGGCGATTAGGTGGTAGTTAAAGAGATAGTGTAGGCAGGGTTGTTGGTGGTAAATTTACTACTGGTAAATTACGGTATTTACCAGGTAATTTACTAAAGGTGTGGTAAATTTACTATTATATATTTAAAGTTAAGTTTGTTTATGTAATTTAATTGGTTAAATTTTTTTTAATCATCAAATCACATGATTTTATATTGCACAAACACTTCTTTAAGAATATTTAAAGGTAAATTTACCAAATAGCCTGGTAAATTTACTAAAAACTTTAATAGTTATGATAAACTAATATCTCAGCTCTGGGTTGCAGGTAGTAAATTTACCATAGTAAAATTACAGTAATTTACCAGGTAATTTATCAAAGATGTGGTAAATTTACTTTTATATACTTAAGGTTGAGTTTAACTATGTAATTTGATTAGCCAAAAAAAATTTTTTTAATCATCAAATCATATGATTTTATATTATATAAACCTTCTTAAGAATAACTAATGATAAATTTATCTTTATATACTTAAGGTTGAGTTTGACTATGTAATTTGATTAGCCAAAAAAAATTTTTTTAATCATCAAATCATATGATTTTATATTATATAAACCTTTTTAAGAATAACTAATAGTAAATTTACTAGTAATTTACCAAACAGCCTGGTAAATTTACCAAAAATTTTTAAAAATTATAGTAAACCAACAACTCTGGGTGTAGGTAAATAGGTTCTGCTAGATCTAGTTTGGTCATGGCATAATGGCCTCCTAACTTTTTATGTCTATATATATAATAAGTATTATCATAATATATATATATTTAAGATGTTTGATATGAAGGGTACTAATTTTAGACAGTTCCATCTTTTTTTTTGTTTTTAGAGGCAAGTTTTTGTATTAACTTTTCTCCCTTACTCATTTCATTCTTTGCTTCTTTTGCTTGAGCAGTATCTAATATCTTTACTTCTATTTCATTTTCGAGATCATGAAGCCTTGATAATGTGTTGGCATTATTATGTTTCCTACTAGCTCTGTGAATAAATTTGAAATTATAGGATTCTAGGTGGAGTATCTACTTAACATGTCTTCCCTTCAGCTCTGAGGTCCTAAGCCACTTGAGGGCTGAATAGTCTGTAATCAAATTAAAGTGAGCAGTACCTAGGTATTGATGTAGTGTTCCTATTGAACCTAGGTTCAAAGTTCATGAACATGTTTAAAGTTTTGAATAAAGAAAAAAGCATATAATCG